TCATAATATTTATAAAACTAATACAAGTCCTGTTTCTTGTAAGTGGGTTTAATAAAGAACGAACTAAAAAACAATGTAGATGTAGGATATAGGTAGCAGTGGTAGCACCAAAAAATAAAACTTAAAAATCTTTAAATGCAAATACCTACATAACATAACTACATAAAGTGTTAAGTCAAAACAAAAAATAATATAAAATATAAATTTAAAAATAAAACTAGGAACTCTAAAAAAAGGAACTTTAAAAATGAACTTTCTGTAGGTAATGGTAATAACACAAGTTGTTATAAAATAAAAAAAAAAAATAATAAAAATATTCAAAAATCCAGGGTCCATGTCTATGATTAAACCATTAAACGATTAGGTGACGTTTAGAAATGCATTTTCAGCGAACTTTCGCTTAGAGAGGAGCGAACATTACTGTAAATTATCGTAATAATGCAAACGTTCGCTCGGTAAAGTTCGCTTGTTACAACACTAAACCAGGGCTTGCGATTCTCTTTTGGGCTTCAGTATCCACTACATTAATTATGTTATGAATGCTCTATATCGCCATATAATGGTGAATTGGAGGCTGACGAATTAGATTACAGAGAATTTACTATGATTTTGGGAAAGGTCAATATGTAGAACTGCAAAATTATTTGGCATCAATTGTTTAAGTGGTAATATTAATGGATCAACTGATTTGTTTTATGAAATAATGAAAACAGGTATTGCCTGTTTAATCCCTCTAAAATAGTACAAAACAACTTCTTTCCCAAAATGGTCTTCTTCAGAATTGAGTCAGTTAACTATACAGAGAAAAAAGGACATTCAGTGTACAAAAAGGATCATACCAATGACAGTTACAAGAGGTTTTCTCTATTACGCTCGCAGTGCAAAAGGATTACGTATATTTGTTTTGCAAATTATATTACTGGTTTCGATGTGAAATTGAGGGAAGATCCGAAGTCTTTTTGGAAGTACATAAATGACAAACGATCTGGTCATAGTCTACCTGCTTTTCTGTTCTATGACAATAAACGCGCTTCTGAAGGGCAGGAAATAGCAAATTTGTAAAGATTTTTTTCGAACAGTTCACACGCATAATCCAAATCCAAATCAAAAATTGCGTGATAGTTCTGATGTAGGTTGGAAGGACTGCAACATGAGCAATAATATTCAATGCTGTGGTGTATCTCAATTCGACATCTTTAATGAAATTAAAAAATTGTCAAACAAGCTCACAACGGGACTTGATGGCGTAACAAATGTATTGTTAAAAAACTGTATTTGCATTATTGTGTTATCTTTATGTATCTTGTTTATTAAACCTTTGGGGGTCGTCAGTGTTTCCTGATATTTGGAAGGAAAGTTACATTGTTCCAGTGTTTGAGAACGGTGTGAGGGATAACGTTGAGAACTATCATAGTGTTTGAAATCAATCTGCCATACCAAAGTTACTGGATTGTCTTGTGAGTAAACAACTAGCATGGCATTGTAAGGGCATGATTTCGCAGAAGCTGCATGGCTTCTCTATGAATAAATCAACTGCAACAAATTTGGTAGCTTATCATACTGATATCGTAGGAAACGGGGTAGGAAATATGGAGGTTAAGAAACAAACCGATTCATTATATACAGATTTCTCGAAGGTCTTCAATTGAGTTGATCACCGAATTTTACTCAGCAAATTACATTCCAATGGACAATTGGATTTAATTTCAAGCTAATATTATGGTTTGAGAGCTCTTTGACAGGCCGAGTCCAACGAGTTAAAATAGGGAGCTTTTTTTCTGATATAATTTCGGTCTCATCAGGGGTGCCTCAGGGTGGGCATTGTTCACCACTTCTATTTAATGTTTTTGTGAACGATATTGTTGACTGTTTCATAATTAGTTGTTACCTGAAATTTGCTGATGATTTGAAGTTCTGGAGAACGGCAGAAGATATCTGTGACCAGGTGCTTTTACAGGAAGATTTGAACTGTTTATCTGATTGGTGCCAAAGAAATAAATTGTATCTTAATGTGAATAAATGTTGTTTTTTAAGCTTAACCAAAAAGCTTCATAGAATTGAAACTAGCTAGTATATAAATGATCAGGTACTGAAATATGTGCCATCAGTGAGGGATCTGGGTGTGATTTTTGATATATCACATAAATGCAGTATCTGTTGAGAGGTCTAAAATGTTGGGTTTTGTAATTAGGAATTGTAAATATTTCTCAGTTGAAGGCACTAGAATGGTATATATATTGTTTTCAGGTGCATAGGGATTCCTTAGAAATAATTCAACACAAATTTTTGCGTCGTTGTGCCTACAAAGGTGGTTCTAGGTTGACAGACCATGATTATGGGGCAATTGAACAGAAATTATCTTTATCTCCTTTGAACCAATGCAGAGATATGCTTGGAGTGATTTTTATATACAAAATCATCAGTGAGGTGACTCACTGTCTTAGCATTTTGAGTTAGGTTGGTTTGAATGTGCCTTATTATCATGGTTTGCGTCGCCAATATTGTTTCAATGTTCCTTTCCATAGAACCAGCTATAGTGTAAATAACCCGAGAAATAACCCATCAGATAGATATTTATCTTCAATAAATAATTTAAATGTAGATGTGTTTAATGTTTCGGTGGTTAAATTGAGGAAAGCTCTACTAGTGTAATCTTTTGTCTACAACTAGTGGAAGGGTAAGGATAGTGTGCCTTCAAAGTTCAAGGTAAGTAGTTGGAGGTGATATAGCTATATAAGTTTTGGTTGTTTTTTGTTGAAATTTATTGTTTATTTCGGAGTAAGTTTACTACATAGAGTATATATAGATTAAGAGACCTAGCCTTAATTATTATTATTGATTATCAATGTATACCTATTAATAAAAAATAAATAATATATGAATAAAAAATAAATAAATAAATAAATGGGAAACGGCATCATCTGGGGTCCCTAAGGGAGATTTGCATTATGTTTGGTCACCCCAGATAATGTCATAAAAGTTATCAGACACCTCTTTCAAATAACGAAATAACTTTGGTTCAGCATGACATTATGACAATGACATGCATGCATTAATAGGTTAACTGGTAATGGGTAAATTGATGACGTCATCTAGGAGCCTTATGGAAGTTTGCATTATGTTGAGGCACCCCAGATGACGTCATAAAAGTCAGGCAACCTACCTCTCTCAAACAACTTTGCCTCACCAGTCACCATTCCTTAAGTATTTCGTGTGTTGTTTACATTTGACGTCACATGAAAACGCTACGCCATTTTTTGTGACGTCACGAGGTACGATCGCGTCAACCTTAGATGCGTCAACCCAATCAACCGCTGACATTTACTGCTTTCTGTCACTTTCTGTCATGTTTAAAACAAAATGACAAGTAAAACTAGTAAAAGTGAGGTTAAGCTAATATTTATTTTGCATTTGGGTTCCTTTCAAACTCAAAAGTAAATTATTTGTGATTTAACTTATCTTTCCATGATTCAAATGAACTTCACCATACCTAAACATGGCTTTTTAATGACATATCTTCAGACTGGTGTTTTTTTTTGTTTTTTTTTTTAAGTTTTTTGTTTTTAATAGGTACCCTAATAGTGTCTTTTCAGTTTTCAGGAGTGAGTGAGTGAGTGAGTGAGTAACTATACACCATTTTTAACTGAAAAGGATAACGCACACCTAACATGGGATTTTTGGGCTCTATGGATTTTGCCCATTTTTTGATATGTTGTAGAGGATTTAATTCTGAACAACCTGACTGCTGCTACTGGTGTTTATCAGTCAAAATATTGACAGGTTAACATATTTTACGTCACTTAAAAATTAATGTCAACTTAGGTTAAGGCCGGGGCCGCACTGGGGTCAATGTTGGCGCTAGTGCGGTTCCCGGCCTTAGCCTATGTTGACATTTGTTAGTGACGTGAAATATGACGACCTGTCAAAATTTTGACTGATAAACACCAGTTTTTCGTATACTCTCCACGCAAAAAGTTGTAAAAAAGTTTATCTTTCAATGCTCATATCCCAAAGACCATATAGTCCGGGAGGCAGTGAAATTTTTTAGCACTTATTTTCCCAGTTGGTGTATATGGAATAGTTTGTTCTCTTGGTGATACAAAACAAGAATATTTGAGTTTCGCAAAAATTTTCGGATGGGTTCACTAGATCAATGAAAAATACAAGTACACTTATTTTCCCAGTCATAAATATTTCACATCCACTACAATAGAACATAAAGTATATGAACATAGCATTTTGGCTTATCTCAGATAGTGGAAAGTTAGTCTGGCTGAAGTTTTTAGGATCTTCAATTTTTCACTTGCCAGACATATTATCCATACTCACAGATAAGCCGGACTATTTTTTTACGTAACTTCAGTATACTTCTGATGAGTTGACTTATTTTTATCACTGGAAAAAAAAAGGGCCGTGCATTAGTAAGCTCTAACGCATTTTGCGACTCAACCCATCGGAAAACCCCCCCTAAAAATATATGAATTTTGCTTAGAATTACTAACCCTACAATTCAATCCATGTTTCGTGACTGGGAAAATAAGTACTGAAAATCGTCACTGCCTCCTAGAGTAATAATACCTACAAGATTTCGTACATATTTTACTTTGACCATGATTTTGTTCTATAAACACTCACATTTGCTCTTTATTTGATTTACTCACTAGTCACTACCTAAGTTCAGTTAAGTTTATTGTCTTCTTTCTAGATGAAGGGAAATTAATGATAATGATGATGATGAATAGTGTAAAGTGGTCCTGAATCGCTACTTCTCTTCTTTGTTAGATTCTAGTCATTCAACAAAAACTAGACTCCACAAGTTTGAGTATAACAACAATGTCATAGTGGACATATAAAATTCAGGTTGATAAATCAAAAAACAACAAGACACCTATAAGCCAGTACTTACTTGAGCCCCCAAATAATTGTTAAAATAAAAAAAAGTCTGCTTCCTGTATAAGGTTTGGTTTGTAACCTTGAATATTATGTTTAACCTTACTAACCTGCACTCCATGTATTTTGGGCCCCGCATGATCTTGTTGCGAAGCCTGCGTCTGCGAGGGTATAGTAAAATCGGTAAATTCGCATTCGGAGCCCTGGGTGTCCGCCCCGATCAAACCGCCGTCGTCGACGTCCAAAAATGTGAGCGTTTGAGAGCTGGGGCCATACGCGTCAACGCTCATGATTGCCGAACGGTTTTCCTACTGTACAGCTTCGGGGCGTCTTCATAAATTCACGTGGCGACGTATAAATACCTGCGAATTTCCCGAGAAAATCGACTTCCAACGACGTTCTCAGGTCAATCTTTCAAAAATTATGTGGCGACAGACAAAAAACGCCATGACAGATGTGAATGATGTGATTAGTCACTCGTTTGTTTCGTCGGTTTCGTCATCGTCAACCGTCAAGTATCCGATCGCTGGCGCGAAGTTTGAATGGATTTCGGGGAAATTCCATAGATTAAGGTTATGTTACGGTTTTTCTTATTTCAATTTGCGATCTCTCCGGCACTGATTGCACTCAGACTCAGGACAAAAAGTGCATTGGTGCAACCTTGATGGAGTCAGAGTGCACATTTGACCTAGAGCTTGGAACTACGGTGAACTACCCTCACCCTGGTTCAAAATTTGAGATTATTACTATTTTGTGTGGTGGTTTAGATTTCATTTTCTTCTTGGATATGAAATGAAAACCGGCTCCGCACATCATTTAAATAGGAACAGAGAGCAGGTGCGAAACTTGCACTCGGGGCAAAAAGTGTCGCACCGGTTCGGAGTTCGGCCAATTTTTTTTTGCTACGTTGCCAGAGCCATGATTTTTCTATAAACGGAACTGTCAAACCTTCACAGTTCACTTCACACATCTGTATTTTGTTTACAAATAAATATCAAAAATACCAATTTCTCTTGTTAGGACTTTTCGCAGAATTATTAGCTCTGTATGAATAGAATTAGCTTTTTTCAAAGAACCATCTCAATATGGATGAATTAAGTGACAAGTTCTACTATTTGTATAGTTCAGATGTACCAGCCAGGATACAAGTTAAGATGTAAGTTTTTCTTTTTCTTAACATTTTTGTATGGAGTACGAGGAAGAACTTGCACATTCTTCCTCGTAAAATATAACTCTGTACTACAAAACACAACTAAGCAATTGAAATGTCGGAAATTATGTATGAACTTTGTGTTGTGAATTCGAATTCATTAGTTTGTCTTGCATTATTCCACTAAGAGCTGTCTCAAATACTGGCAAATAGTAGTTCAAATATTAAGTATCAATTACGGGAAATTCATGCTGCAAGTACAAATCAGAGCTGTCAAAGATACTTGTGAAAAGTATCTACACTAAATTTTTTTTTCCAAGATAGATTTTTGACATTGAAAACTTTGAAACATAAACAATAACCCATGACCCTGATTGGTCGCAAAATGAGATGTTTCTGCAGGTTGACATCAGTTTTACAATAGCGACCAATAAGGGGCATTAGCAGCATTGTTTATGTTTCAAAGTTGACAATACCAAAATTTATCTTGGGAAAAAATAAACCATAGTTACAAGATAAGTTACTTTTGGGAAAAGTATCTGAAGTTACTTTGGGTATTTAGTTACTTATTAAAAAAAGGATCTTAAATACGTATCTTAAGTTACTTTTCAAGATACTTAATAAGATACTTATTAAAATACTTTATTTACGACTACTGTATAATGTGCGTATTATATTTGTGATTTTGGCAGTATAATGACATATGTTATTCCTCCAGGGATTAATGACGAGTAGCGGGATTAATGGTCATTATTTCACAAAAGTGTCAGTGTCAAACGTGTAGTGCTTGTGGATTTGTATTGAAAATTATGAGACGGATGAAATTTGTTCATTGAAAATCTCAAATAAATTAATTTGTCGTAAATAAAGTAGAGTATACTACTCGCAATAATGGCTATTATTCCCTCGGAATGTTACTCCCTCGCCGCTAACGCGGCTCAGTTCGTAATAATCCTCGGGAATAATAGCTATCATTATTGACTCGTGGTATAATCTACTATTATTATTATTTCCGAATAGTTTAAAAAAGAAAAAATATTAACTGTGCCTTCTTTGTTTATTTTAGAAACTATTTGTCTCATACATAAAAAATATTGTGGTCTAGAACCTGAGGAGGTAAGGTACAATACCAGAACACACACTAATAATAACTTACGTTTACCAATTCCAAAATCTACTCTGACTAAACATTCTATATTCTTTGAAAGCAAAAAAAATTTCAATCACCTCAGTAATGATTTGAAATCAGTATCGGACTATACCCAATTTCGAACGAATGCTAAGAGTATGTTATTGGAGAAAGTATTCTACAGCTTGGAGGAATATTATGGTGATGTTTTATGATTGTCTTGTTTTTTATTTTTTATAGACCTATACACATATTTACAATTTTTTATGTTTTGTGTTTTGATTTGTTTCTTTTATATTATTTCAATTTATTTATTACATTTTAATTAGTCATTCTTTGGCCTTATGTTAATTTTAGGAATTTTAAGATTTTTATGTGATTTTGTGTAATTCGTATAACTATTAATGTAGATTAGTATATAAATTAGTATATTATATTATCCGCTTTGTCAGTAAAGATTTATATTTTATGGACAATAAAGCATATTGAGTATGAGTATGAGTAGCAAACAGAAAAACCGATTAAGCTATTGCTGTTTTTGGTCCACAAGTTCAAAAACAAGATTTTTCATAGTTTGAAAATCCCAAATCCAAGAAAGTTCAATTCTTCTCGAGTTTATTGTAGGATCTCCAAACCAATACAGCTTCTCATATTGCATATTGGTGGATTGCTCCACATGAACACTGTTTTCTTCAAATTCGAAAAAACCATTGTCGACAATATTTTCCTTATGAACAGGAATCGGGATATTATCATGACTTTTCTTGTACATCGTACTTCAGCTTTACTGGCCAAACATATCTTAATATGTGCTCTGTTCCAACCGACAATGGAACAGTTCCAGAACCAGTAATTTCCAGTTGTCAACCCATTTTTCATAAGTTGAACGTTTTTGACCCTGAGTAGGGTCTGTTTAGTGGAGTCATTTTTTTTTGTCTGGCATTTTGAGGGATGAATGTGCCTAGTTAGCTGATGAGAATATAAGTGGTTTTAATGTCTGCCCCCTGTTCGAAATATCCACCTGCCTCAAATGCACAACAATATGACATCCACAGTACCGCAGTTGAACGTGCGGCGCAAGAATATCCAGACTTCGGTTTGTGTATTGCAGGTGATTACAACCTACCAAAGCTTGCATGGACCAATGATTCCTTGGGTACTATGACCACCGGGTACTGCCCTGCAGCTGAGTCAATCATAGAGACTTTTCCTTTCCTCAATCTCTGTCAAATAAATACCATTCGGAATGTTAACGGTGTACTTCTTGACTTAATTTTTTGTGATAATTGCTCTGATTGTGTGGAACTGATAGACGATCCATTATTGAACTGTGATAGGCATCATCCTGCTTTATTAATTAATGTTAAATGTGATACTGTCTGTGATTTTTTAGAATTTGAAGATGAAATTTATGATTTTTGTAAATGTAATTTTAATGCAGTTAGTGAAATACAGCTGAATATATATTGGGATGTAGTTTTAGATTCTTGTATCGACAGTGATATAGATTTATTTTACAATATTGTTTGTCAAGCCATTGAGCTGCATACACCAAAGAAAAAAATTAAAAATAAGTTTAAATTCCCAATATGGTTTAGTCCTGAATTGAAAAATCTCACTATTGAAAAAAAAGGCTCATAAAAGATACAAACATAATTGTTATAGCTTGGAAGATTACAATTATTTTAAACAGCTGAGAGCTGCTTGTAAGGTTCAAGCAGAAAGATGTTATTTTGATTATATTGAGAGAACTGAGCATAATGTATTAAAAGATCCCAAAAATTTCTGGAAATATATCCATTCTAAAACTCATTCTAGAGAGTTGCCACCCACACTCCATTATCAGGGGGGTGTGGTGTCTGATGGTGAGGGCATTGCAAATCTCTTTGCAAGGCACTTTGCATCGGTCTACGCGTCTGCTGGTCCTAATGTGAGCGGTTGTGAACTTGTTGCTTTTCGAGACATGGTACATATCAATAAGTTATCTATTAACATTGGTGAAGTTTTCAATAAGCTGAATCACATCAATATAAATAAAGGTCCAGGACCTGATGGAACACCTCCAACATTTCTTAAGAACTGTGCACTAGCCTTATCTAGACCCTTGTGGCTGTTGTATAATAAATCATTGTCTGTTGGAGTTTTTCCAAAATATTGGAAACTATCTTTTGTATGTCCGATTTTCAAAAACTCTGGCAACAAGGAAGATGTTGAGAATTATCGCCCTATTGCATTATTGCCTCATTTCCCAAAGATATTTGAATCACTGGTAAACGATTTTTTAACTGAAAAACTTAAAAATATAATAATTCCAGAACAGCATGGCATGGTTTTACCAGTGGTTGATCTATAACAACAAATTTGCTAGTGTATGAACGAGCCATATCGGGGGCCTTGGAGGCCGGTCAGGTTGTAGATTCTATCTATACCGACTTCTCCAAAGCCTTTGATAGGGTGAGTCATGCATTGTTGATAGAAAAACTTTCCAAACTGGTGTATGTGGTTCACTTCTTCAATGGCTGTATTCTTATCTTGTAGACAGAAGCCAGATTGTAAAGGTGAAGTCATTTCAATCTGAGGTTATTAGTGTTACTTCTGGGGTGCCTCAGGGGGGTCATCTTGCACCACTCCTGTTCTGCTTATTTATCAATGACATAGGGTCTTGCTTCCATCATGTCCAATTTTTGTTATATGCCGATGACTTGAAAATTTTCAAGAGTATAAATCAAGAAGGCCCAGGCAGGGGAATGCAGGATGATCTTCTGAGGTTCCATGAGTGGTGTGTTGAGAACGAGATGACATTGAATGGCAAGAAATGCAAATATATTCAGTTCTCTAGGAAAAATTCTCCCAAACTAAATGACTATTATATAAATGATAATGTTATTGAAAATGTTTCTAGTATTCGTGACCTAGGTGTTGTATTCGATGCAAAATTGTCATTTTCTGAACACATTTATGCATGTTGTAATAAAGCATTGAAAATGTTGGGTTTTATCAAAAGACACACAAGAGACTTTAAGAATGTTTCTGCTCTCAAGTGTTTGTATGTGTCATTGGTTCGTTCCCATCTTGAAAATAATAGCTGTGTGTGGTCACCACATTATAAAATTTATGTTGAATTAGTTGAACTTGTACAGAGAAAATTCTTGAGATACATAGGGTACAAAATGGGAATACCTTCAGATTTTATTGATCATGGTCAGCTTTTGCAGAATTTGTCATTGGAAACATTGGAGCATAGGCGTAGAAAATTTGATCAGTTATTGATTTTTAAGTTGCTCAGAGGTTATCTGGATTGCCCTGAGTTGCTCTCGGCTGTAAACTTGAATGTCCCAGTGAGGAATTTTAGAGCTGTGCGCTGTTTTTCGTTGGAGAGACATCGTACCTCTTATGCCCAACACACAACCATTAATTGGGTTATGTCTTATGCCAATGAGATACAGGTGGACATATTTGCTTCATCTTTGCACCAAATGAAGCTATCACTGTGATATTGTTTTGTAATCTAGTGATTTACCCTGTGATCTGTTGTTGGCTGTTTTTTGTTGTCCTTTCAATTTTTTAATTTAGAAATAATTTATTGTACTCTTTTTAAAATTTTTATTTATATGTGGTTTGTTATTAGTATTAATATTATTATTGTGGCAATATTTGTAAAATTGGGCCGCTGCCCGTTGGAAGTGAAAATTAATAATAAATAAAGAATGTTTCGCCACAAAACTCGACTTTGAACTGTAATTACCGTCTGGGGATTATTCAGCGTTATTTTCACAACAAAACCTTCCATTCTCTGGATTACCAGACAAAAAGTAAACGCGGAAGGTTCTTTTCTTTTCTCTTGGAAGTTGACACTCATTCCCACTTTTTCAGCTATTGAAAAGCATCTGGTATTTTTTATGGGTGAATTATTCATCAATGTCAATCTTTTATTTTAGAAGCCAAAAAATTTGAGATCATTAAAATAAAATTCCTCATGTAAATCAATTTTTTTCTTCTGCAAATTTTCGAATGGGAGGCAGGCATTAAAACCACCCATATTCTCATCGGCTTAATAGCCACATTCAGCTTCAGCCCTCAAAATGCCAGACAAAAAAAATGACTCCATTAAACGGCCCCTATCTCACAGTCTATTTATCCTACTTGACAAATGAATTGATCGACTGGAAATTACCGTTCTAGAACGGTTCTCATGTCGGTTGGAACAAAGCCAACTCGCAGAAATCCCGTAAGGTCTGTTTTCACAGGAGTCTCTGACAGTTTGCAACCTGTCAGGTCAGCTAAGTTACTGATTTATTTTGGAGCGACGGCAGTTACTGTATTCCCGAGTGTATTCCTTTTACCTGTTGAGTTCCTCGGAGCTGCTCAATGTCAAAAGCTTGCACTTTTCTTTTAAAAGTGCGTTAAGCACTCGATTCGCTTACAGTGCATCCCCCTTTCCCCTGATGCACTAAATTTGCGTGGGTTGCAAGAAGCCCTTTTAGATAATGTTAACATTGAAAAATATTGATAATACCTATCTGAATTTTGTGTTTTGGAGTGACTCCGAGGAGCTCTAGAGCGACACGTTCGGTGTAACCTGAGGTACCTATAAAAGGAATACAGTTCATGACGGCATTGAAAACATGTACCATCGTCACCAAAAGTATCTGGGACACAAATAATGCATAATAATCTCCTGGACTAATTCTACTGTCATTCATTTCAATGCATTTAATTCATAGTTTGACAAAATTTGACAATAAAATTCAGTCCCAGTTACTTTTGGTGACGATGGTACATGGGCGATGCTTACTGACAGTTTACAAATTGTCAGAGAATCTTGAGAACAGAACAGACCTACCATCTACCTATTACAGTAGTGTCGCGATAATCCGGTCAATTGAAACCAGACCAATCCGGATTATCAAATTATTCGGATTACTAAGGCATTTTACAGTCCGCTTTTAAAACAATTTTGAAAAAATAACATGCTGTATTTAGACAAAAAAAGCTTTATATTTATTTGAAAAACAGGACAAATGAAGAAAATTATTCTATATAGAGTGCGAAATATGTAAGTAAGTACATAAGTGTAAAAATAACTAGTCAATATTGTTCCAACTTTCGTTTACATTATTTTCAGCATTTGAATTTTGTCCACCTTCTTCTACATTTTTCTGCACCGCTTGGAAGAAGTTGGTGATTTTACTCTGACGACTGCTGTGCTGTTGTTTTTCAAAAGCAAATTTCTTTAAGTGAAAACCTGCCCAGGGACTCCATGTCAGGTAGAATTCTACATATCGACAGGATTCTATAAACTCGGCACACTGTGCGGCATGCGATATGTTTCGATATGTCGAATTCTACGTGGCACGCAGTCCCACCATTGCTGTGGTTTTATTTTCAAGAGTCATGTAAATGAATTCGGGTTACTGAATCAAGTGAAATCCGGATTACAGAGTACATCAAGGGAATGAAAATGCGATGCGGATTACAGAAGCATACGGATTATCGCGGGATCGGATTATCGCGACACTACTGTACCTTCTATTTGAACCAGTCTTATCTTGTTGGGTCGGGTTTGGGTTTGGGTAAACATCTCAAGGAACTATTTTTACTGCAATTTTAATACTTTTTGAAGTTTTTGTTAACTTTGATACCTACTTTTCTCAGTATCTAAGATAGTTTTCAGTATCTGAGATACTAGATACTTTTGCCAAAAAATAAAAAGTACATATTTAAGTTACAGTATCTTAGATACTATAAAGTAACTAAGATACTCTAAAGTAACTAAGATACTTTTTTCTGTCAGTTCTGGTACAAATAATAAATACCTGATACTTCCAATTTAAATAGTATTGGAAGTGGATAAAGGCCCGCGAGTCGAGGAACTTTAGCATATTTTATAAAGATCCGCGAGCTGTGTATCCTAAGTTTTAGTTTATTTTTAAAGGTCTGCTAGTTGACAGCTTTCCACAATTTGAGAAAATTTGTTGCTTGACTATTTTCCTTCAGGTAAAAATACAGAGGCTTCTGGCAATTTTGGACCATTAGGTTCTCTAAAGTTTATGTTAATTTTTCAAAAAAATTAATTTCGATTTTTTTAAAAATGTTTTCAATTTGAATATTTTTATCACGACTACCTTCTTTCTTTAAGGCCTGATTTGTTCATCTTCAGATAAACTTGCTGGTAACAATCAGCAAGATGAATTTATCGTTCTATAATTTTATTGGTCAGCAGATAACTAGCCGACCAATGGAATTACAGATTGCGTTTTTATCTGTGAGATTGCATCCCTGAGAGTTCATCAGAGGGTGAATAAACCAACCCTAGAACAGAAAATGCAGGCTTACCCAAACTAACTTGTCCATCTAGTAAACAAACTACCATTTTATTTAAAAACAAAAAAACAAAGGTTATCTAGTTTAGAAAGTACCATCCCTTGAACGCGCTTTGTTTTTTAGATAAAATGCTAACTTGATAGCACTAGGCGGACGGGTTGTTTTGGGTTACTTTGGATAAAGCTGGATTTATAGTGTCAGTACAGTTACAGTAAGTCGATTTTATTAAAATCTGACAGGTTCAAATATATTCGACCAATAGAAAAAAATCTGCAAAATAAAAATCCGCAATTCGCGGTTATGAGTTCTAGGCTTAAGTATGCATTTTCCTCGGCATTTTCTTTCTAGAAGCAAGGTTGTTTGAGAAAGGTAGGTGGCCTGATAACTTTATGACGTCATCTGGGGGGCCTCAACATAATGCAAATCTCCATAATGCACCCCCAGACGCTTCATCGGGATACCCATTACCAGGCAACCTATGATCTTTAGGATCCTTGGTCTAGAAGGCCTGTTCTAAATTATACATAAAGAGGTTATGTTATCAATATTCATCAATCTAGTGCAGCTATTCCGTACGACAATCGCGGACCTTTCAAATATAAAGTGAAAGTCCGTGACTCGCGGATTTATATAAAGTATGTTAAAGTTCCACGACTCACGGACCTTTATAAAATTTGTTATAAAATATGTTAAAAGTTCCTCGACTCGCGGACGTTTATCCACTCCCAAAAGTATTTCAAGTTTCAAGTAGGTACCTACTTTAATTTAGTACTTGACCTTTCTCAAGTAAAAGAATTCAAATACAAATATCTTCTAACTCGTAAAGTTCAGGGGAACCCTAAATCATAAACTATACAAATAAACATCATAAACTCTAAGATAAAAATCCATAGGCGTTAGGTCCGGTGACCTCGCCGGCCAACAGTTGGGACCTTGGTTAGCTCGTTGGTTAGCTATCCAATTATTGTCGAAGTTGGCTGCTAGAAAACTGCTGATAATTTCAGTGTTATGAGGGGTTTGTAGTACTCTACTAGGAGGATTAGAATCGCTGAAAATTTCAGCTTTCTATCTATATTCTCTAGGATTCCAGTGGAATTCCAGATTCTGTAGTTCAGAAATTCGTCATTTTGGTATCAGAACGACGAGAGGTTCAAAGATGAATAAAACTTAGATTACTCATGAAATGCACTTTTTACTGATTAGCGAGCTCATTAGTTTAAAATTTAATTCATTTTCAAGTCAAATTTTTTCTTATCAATGAGTGAATTACTCACCCACGGACCGCAGCAATTTACTCATGAAATTAACCAATTAGTTCAATAACTCATTCATTTTTGACTCAGAATTTGCACTCATATGAAAAAGACTTTGATTCATTATTCCTGAGTTTCAAGTCATTGTGATCTTAGAAGTATTTTGCACAAGTGATTTTTGCAGATTTTAATCATTTTTGCATACATTAACGTAAGAAAGAGCTTCTAAATTTGATTGGCAGCTTTAAATCAACTTCAAATCGAGCTTCAAATTAATTTATCCATAAAGAAGAAACTTTAATTCATAAATCCTGAAAGGTCACTGTGATCATTAGAAGTACTTTGCACTACAAGTGATTTTTGCAGATTTTAATCATTTTTGCATACATTAACACAATTGACAACTCTGCACCTGAACCAAGAATTAAAAACAGGCTAACATGGCAAATCTATCGAAAACAAAAAATTTCCAGTGGAGTATTCGCTTGTCACTTACCATATTTTTTTTTTTTGCTTCTACCTATAAAGCTAGCATGAAAATAGTTTAAAAATTGATCAAGTTATGCATAAAAATATATTGGTATCATTAGAAAATCATGAACAAAAACAATTTATCTAATAGCTAATAGGAGAAAATATTCTGTATGTTGCAAATGCAAAATACAGAACAAAGATATGATTTTTCTAGTGGAACCCTTGAAGGCAAAAGAATTAAACCCACCTACGAGGACTTGCTGAAAGACCCCCATCTAAAATTCTCTGGCGTTTGCCAAGACGGCTGTTCAGATTTAATGGTAGAATGTCAAATATGGGACCACAACGAACCACTTTGCTTGCCTGTGGGAACCGAGTATAAACCATTCACAACCAGATGGAAGTAAGTTTATATGTCAAATTTTCTACAATAAACTTCCTTGCTATTTTTAGCTGGAATGAATGGCTTCACATGCCCCTAGAATTTTGCGACTTACCAAGAACCGCCCAACTAGCCATAACCATCTACGACTGTGCAGGGCCAAATAAACTTATGCCGGTAGGTGGTACTACAGTGTCACTTTTTAGCAAACATGGAGTATTTAGAGAGGCAAGTTGCAAACATATTATTACAAACAAAAATTGCTATAAACGATTTTTTTTTAGGGTATGCTAGATTTAAGAGTTTGGCCTAATGTGGTAGCAGATGGTAGATCTCCCACTACAACCCCTGGTAAGGGTCATGATGGCAATCATAGTTCAACTGATCAAATGTGGAAATTAGCTAAATTGGCTAAAAAACATAGAAATGGGCATATTCCAAAGGTACTTAATAAGCACCTACTTATGGGCTAATTCTTATGTTACTTAACTTCCAGGTTGATTGGCTAGATAGACTTACATTCAGGGAACTAGAAGTAATCAACGAAAAAGAGAAAAGATCTTCTAATTACATGTATTTGACGGTGGAATTTCAAAAAGTCTTTTCCGATGATGTGGCGCATCATGTAGTCTATTTTGAACAAAACGGCGAAGAGATTCATACTTTTAAAGCTAATGCTGACTTGGTTTTCGTACCTGATCCTGAAATTGGAAAGGTAAGTCGTATTTTTTAGCAATTTAAATTATTTGTAGAAAGTTATTTATTCAGTCAAAAGCAATGAAATTTGATTTTTTAATGAGTGGGTAGAATTGTAAAAAGCAATTAAATAATATATTATTATATTATTATACAAGTACATAGTAGATGGTTTTTTAGAAATAATCAGTTTATAAATGACCCAATATTTTGTGTTGAGAATTTGCCTTGTGGTCTGGCTTCTTCAACTTATGAACTTCGAACCGAATTGTATTTTGTATCTGGTAAGATAATTTTTAAAGTTTCTGTAAAAAAAAAGTATTACCAAGCAGGAGAATGGTAATGACGTGTTACCTAATTTGACAACCAAAATACTTTGAATCAAAATATCAATTTTTTTAAAAAAATCAAACCCCTTTTCTAATGATTTGCATTAACCGTTTGTTTGTTATTTTTCTCAGGGGATTTATATGGAAAAACCCACAGTGAATACCAATGATTACTTGTTCTCAATTTCTTTATTGCCACTATAATCTATTTTTTTTAAATTAATATAAATATAAATACATAGTATCTTTATTATATTTAATTTTAGCATCTTTAAATTGTTTATTTTTGTCAATATTGAACAAAATTGAAATAATGTGATCAAATAGAATGTATCACTATTACTAAAGGTATGCGTCATTGCTCCTATTAACAAAGAACAGGCCAGGAAGTGCATCTGTATTCGTAATTATTTAATCAACAAAAATCACTTCATCATGAAATTGAAAGGTTTTTAAGTGGGTCAATTATTTGTTGTAAAAATTTGACCTCAACGGAAGATAAATAACAATTTGAAATGATTGTTTTGGAATTAAAGAATTGTATTTATACAATTATTAATTAAAATTTTTGAAAGATAACAAGAAAACGTAGTGTTGGTTTATCTTTTTTGATAAGGAGTCTGAAAATTTTATTTTCGTCTTAGCTATGTCGTGATGATAACATTGTGATATTAGAAATGTGTGCTCTGTGATAAATATTAGTGATATTTTTTCAATGTTAAAGTTGTGTGCTAGCTAAAATATGTATTGCAATACAAGCACAGAATGAATTGCAAAAGTGAAAGGAGGCACTATTTCATACCACCAATGTATACCTAGAAGTAATGTGTGATTTGGCAGCCTAGTAAACATAACCAATATAAACATTTTTGAGTATTGACTATTTAATTTATTGCTATAGTTATCAAGAAAATTCTCCCAGATCTTCTCTTACAATAATAAATTAGTTATATAACTAATGTATTTATTTAGTTTAGGTGATAAGTAACTGTGGCTTCGATTACGTGTTACGTATCACATTTGTAAATGTGTTGGACTTTCGAAAGTAGGTGCACAAAAATGCATTATCTGATAATTGGTTTGAGAATATCACATAATATGATTTATTCTACACGACTAGAAATGCTGCTTATTAGGTTTATTTATTCAAAAATAAATCTGTGCTTGTGTTGTAATTTACACAATTCAACTTCAGACTTCTAAAATTTTTCTCTATGGCCTAAATTTTTGTGATAGTTATGTCAAAATCAAATAATCTATGGGACACAGTGGCCAAACAACTATCATCTCAAAAAGCCAAAGACCGACTAAAAATCCAAACCATGGTGTGTCAACTCTGCGAACACATTGTGAAATCGAGTGCGGTAAAATGCCTGAAGTGCAACCGTTATCTGCACAAAAGGTGTCTGGAAAGAGCCTGCATGCTTTTCGATATTAGCGAAAACAATTGGCAGTGTCGCGATTGTAGTAACATAAATCCGAACAAATTTGAAGTGAGTTTTCTGAAAAAAGAAAATGAGAGTCTTAAGCAACAAGTGGCCATATTGACGAGGCTCGTCAGTGAACAAGATTTGGTTAATTGCTTGCAGAGGGAGAAAATTGATCAGTACTTGGGGATTGGTGTAAGGATGAAATTTACAATAACTATTATTGTCACAAGGACCTTATTCAATTAATAGGATTCTATTCAATAGATTGCCCAATGTTCAAGTTCAAATATATATTTTTTATAACAGCTTTATAGTTTTCCTCTACATTCACACCACCTTAATGAAAAAATTATTTAGCAGAGGGTGTTACAGTTTAGGTCCTCTTTTGAATTTTTCACGGCTTGATAAAGTTCCAATAGAGAAACCGAAACCTTGAACAAGTAAAGCCTTTTCAAAAATTTCCCACATAAACTCTATTTAATTTGAACGCATTATGTTCATTCATCTATTACACCGTCAACTGACACAGAAATATTATATTGCTGTTGCAAATAATCCAATTGAAGTTATTAAAAGGCTTCAATTTCTACCTTTTAAACCTTTTTGATGTTAGTACATGATAAAATAGGGTTGCAACATTAATCAAACTGGTTATTAAACTTGATTCTCAATGTGTTTCTGTCGTTTCTGTGATCTAATCACGAAGTTTCTTACGATGTCCTCCTCCTCAGGAAAATTTGGTGGAACGCAAACATCATATGCTGGCCAGATCTTTACGCAGTGGTCATAATGATAAAGATGCCAAACCTAATGCAGCGGTAAGAGATATTTTGAATCAAATAGTCTCATATCCTCCTACACAGCAGCTGTCCAACGAAGAGCAAGACTACGTTTGGAAATATAGGTTTTATTTGAGCACTCAGAAGAAAGCTTTAGCCAAGTTTTTGAAGTGCGTTAACTGGAGACATCACAATGAAGTCCGCCAGGCGTTGCATCTTATCGATATTTGGGTTCCTATGGATGTTGAAGGTAGAAATTTGTATTTTTTTAGTTCATATACTAATGTTTTTTGTTTGCAGATGCCTTGGAATTGCTTAGTCCTAATTTTACTCATCCCTCAGTAAGAAGATATGCAATAAGTCGATTACAGCAAGCTCCAGATAATGAAATTTTACTGTATTTGTTGCAACTGGTTCAGGCTTTGAAATATGAGAATTTTGTCACAATCCAAGAAGGTAGGCAATTGATTCATGGGGAAAAAATGATAGAAATAGTTTATATCACCATTATTATTATTATTATTATATTTTTCTTTCTTTTTTCACATTTCATGCGGATTTTGCTTAACATCGGCCAGCTGGCACGATGAAAAGCACTCTATGTAATTTTAAGGAAAGTGCGCACTATGCGACAGGTGTTTAGAATTACTGACTTTTGTATCTCAGCCACCAAGTGTCTGGTTAGTCCTAGAGTAGTGAGATTTTTGACTAACGAGTCAGGTAAAATCCCAGTAGTGGATATGACTATTGGTACAACCGTCACCTTGTTCAACTGCCGTTGCTCTTTAATCTTGTCGGACAGCTCCGTGTATTTCAATACTTTAGAACTAAAACGATGAAATTTCAATTTTTTTTTTGTCGAGATTTTGTGTCCTGATGGTCATTCAACATCCCCCAAACTCCATACACTAAATTATTCTCATATTTGGAGTTGAAATCTCTGAAAAAAGGCACTCAGAAAAATTGAAAAATTGATAAATCACCCCAAATTGCTTAACATGATTTTATCTCAGGAACTATAAGTCCAAATGAATTGGAATTTTCAGGGATTGTAGCCCGCCAGTGGGATAAGAATCGCTGAAAATTTCAGCTTTTTATCTTTATTAGAAAAAAAGTTAGGACCTTTCAAAATTTTCCAAAATCTAAATCATAAGGTGGACAGCTCCGTGTATTTCAATACTTTAGAAGTAAAACGATGAAATTTCAAATTTTTTTTTGTCGAGATTTTGTGTCCTGATGGTCATTCAACATCCCCCAAACTCCATACATAAATTATTCTCATATTTGAAGCCGAAATCTATGAAAAAACGCACTCAGAAAAATTGATAAATCACCCCAAATTGCTTAACACGATTTTATCTCAGGAACTATAAGTGCAGATGAGCTGAAATTTTCAGGGATTGTATGTAATCCCTTGATTAGGATAAAATTCAGTGAAAGTTTCAGCTTTCTATCTATAAAAGAAAAAAAGTTTGAAAAAAGGCACACAGAAAAATTGATAAATCACCCCAAATTGCTTAACACGATTTTATCTCAGGAACTACAAGTCCAAATGAGTTGTAATTTTCAGGGATTGTAGCCCCTTGATTAGGATAAAATTCAGTTAAAGTTTCAGCTTTCTATCTATAATAGAAAAAAAGTTATGACCTTTCAAAGTTTTCCAAAATCTAAATCATAAGCTACCTTCTTACTAAAACGGTGAAATTTCAAATTTTTTTTTGTCGACATTTTGTGTTCTAATCCTAATCCTTCTCATTAGACTAGCACCAGTGCTAGTACAAAGAAAAATATAGGAATATAAAATTTAAAAAGTACAAGGAAAATGGATTAAGTTGAACACATTGTTTCTATTTTTTATTTATTTTTTTTTCAATATTACCTACTGATGAACCAAATCGTTTATGCTGATAATTCATCAACCTCTTTCTAATAATTCTAGGATACGCTAGGATTGCTTCAGGCCACGAAGTATTCCCTTTACACGAAGACACTGGCAACTGCCTAGAAAAAAAAGACTCAAAAGACAGTAATTGCACTATCACATCTGAATCTGTATTACAAAGATCATCTAGTTACAATCAAGCCGATCATTTAGCTTCTTCTGTAGTCAATAGTGTAGTGGAAATAGAAACTGATAAGAATCAACAGGTAATATTAGCCATGTTCAATATTTAATTATTCACCTAACTCTTTAATAGCCATCTCAAAGTTTGCCACCAAGTGTCCTGCAAAATCTTTGTACTGAATCTGGCAACACTGATACACTCCAGAGTAATATGTACGACGAAGAGGAGGATGTTAATGATTTAGCCTCATTTCTGATTTACAGAGCGTGCAAAAATTTCACTTTGGCTAATTATTTTTATTGGTATTTGTTGTTGGAATGTGAAGATCAAGAAGGCACAATCAAACAAGACGTATATATTATTGTTAATAATGGCAAAGCAAATATATCATATTTTTTTACAGGAACAAGTTAGAACTATGTACTTAACAGTCATGAAAACCTTTTCTCAAACATTAGCCAAAGGTTCTGAAGTGATGCAAAAAAAACGTGCAATTTTATCAAAGCAACAAAAGTTTATTGATAAATTAGTGCAATTGATTAAAGCTGTTTCTAGAGAAAATGCTTATAGGGCCAAAAAAATTCAAAAATTGAAAGAATTACTCTCTGAACCTGATGCTTTCAAGTATAATTTTGCCAAGTTTGATCCGGTGCCTTTTCCTTTAGATCCTGAGGTATGTATGAAACAAACCAATTTAATAACATCTAATTGTTAATGTTTCTAGATTAAAATCACAGGAATTGTAGCGGAAAAAGCCCTTTTATTCAAATCAAACCTTATGCCAGCCAAATTACATTTTCTAACTACTGAAGATAAAGAGTATGTTGCAATATTTAAATTAGGTGACGATTTGAGGCAAGACCAGCTTATTTTGCAAATGATAACTTTAATGGATAAATTATTAAATAATGAAAATTTAGATCTCAAATTGACACCTTATAGGGTCCTTGCTACTAGTACAAAGCATGGATTTGTACAGTTCATAGAGTCAACCACTGTGGCTGAAATTCTTGGGACAGAAGGCAATAATTTGAATTTTTGTAGAATTTATTTCATTAAAGTTAATATTTTAGGCAGTATCCAGAATTACTTTAAAAAACACCATCCTCAAGAAAACGTTCCTTATGGCATACAGCCTGATATTATGGATGCTTATGTACGTTCATGTGCCGGATATTGTGTTATCACTTATTTGTTGGGCGTAGGTGATCGACATTTGGATAATTTGTTGCTTACTGAAGACGGCAGGTTGTTTCATATTGATTTTGGGTAAGAATTTATTTTTCTATAATTTTTTCCTAGGAATTGCTTCATTCATGACTGTCACCTGTTTATTACTTCTCACTTCGATAGAGAGTGCAGAAGAGTCTATATTTGGAGGAAAAGTCATGAAACTAAAGAACGAACTGTGTATTAGCTTGAACAAAGCGGACAATAAGTCACTAGCTTCCAGCCTAGAAGTACCAAAACCTATCACTCATAAAATCACCAAGAATCAAATCCTTCTGTTTGGTAACAAGTCTTGTGTAAGTGGAACTGGGTTACTTGTCAGAGCAAATATGTATGCATGATGATATCGTTTTCTCGATTTTCTGAGATTGAAGCTTCCATTGAATGCTTTAATGTGGTATTTGAAAAGTATTTGTACCACCTATAGGTTTTGTACAATTTCAGCTTGAAGTTTTGTGTAAAATTTCAGCGAAATTCTAACTTTGAAGGTCAATTTCTCTAAGTCCACGAAAGTTGCTCAACCTCTGTTTGGAGAATTTATAGAGAATTTTATCCTCTTTCAGAAAATCCATATTACAACTTGATTGGTTGAAAATTACGGAAATTGTGAGCAAAGTTCTAAGACCATGTCAGAACATCTATAGCCAAAATAGAATTTCAATTGTGATTTTTTGTCTCGAAGCATCTGCTTTTTGAGAATAATGTAAGACTTGTTATAGACCAATTTTGACTTCCTATTTCGACTAGGAAAGGTAAAATTTGGAAAAAGTAGAAAATGGAAAATTTCGTTTTTTTACGTAAGTAATTACCCCTTTGATTTTCTTATTGAGAATCTTCAATGTGTAGAGGTATCGAGCCAAATTTTTCTGAGATTGAAGTTTCTATTGGATGTTTTGATGTGGTATTCGGAAAGTATTTGTACCACGTATAGGTTTTGAACAAATTCAACTTGAAGTTTTGGGTAAAATTTCGGAAAAATTCTAACTTTGAAGCTCAATTTCTCTAAGTCCACGAAAGTTGCTCGATCTGTGTTTGGAGGATTCATAGAGAATTTAATCCTCTTTCAGAAAATCCATAATACAACTTGATTGGTTGAAAATTACAGAAATTGTGAGCAAAGTTCTAAGACCATGTCAGAACATCTATAGCCAAAATGGAATTTCAATTGTGATTTTTTGTTTTGAAGCATCTGCTTTTTGAGAATAATGTAAGACTTGTTATAGACCAATTTTGACTTCCTCTTTCGACTAGGAAAGTTAAAATTTGGAAAATGGAAATTTTCGTTTTTTTAGGTAGGTAGTAGGAGTAGGTACCCCTTTGATTTTCTTATTGAGAATCTTCAAGGTGTAATATCTCATATAACATAAGAGGTATCGAGCCAAATTTTTCTGAGATTGAAGTTTCTATTGAATGCTTTAATATGGTATTCGGAAAGTATTTGTACCACTTATAGGTTTTGTACAATTTCAACTTGAAGTTTTGGCTTAAATTTTGGCAAAATTCTAACTTTGAAGCTCAATTTCTCTAAGTCCACGAAAGTTACTCAATCTATGTTTGGAAGATTTATGGAGAATTTAATCCTCTTTCAGAAAATCCATAATACAACTTGATTGGTTGAAAATTACGGAAATTGTAAGCAAAGTTCTAAGACCATGTCAGAACATCTATAGCCAAAATAGAATTTCAATTGTGATTTTTTGTTTTGAAGCATCTGCTTTTTGAGAATAATGTAAGACTTGTTATGGACCAATTTTGACTTCCTCTTTCGACTAGGAAAGTTAAAATTTGGAAAAAGTGAAAAATGGAAAATTTCGTTTTTTCAGGTAGGTACTTACCCCTTCGATTTTCTTATTGAGAATCTTCAATGTGTAATATCTCATATAACATAAGAGGTATCGAACCAAATTTTTCTGAGAATGAAGCTCCCATTAAATGCTTTAATGTGGTATTCGAAAAGTATTTGTACCACCTATAGGTTTTGTACAATTTCAACTTGAGGTTTGAGGTAAAATTTCGGCAAAATTCTAACTTTGAAGCTCAATTTCTCTAAGTCCACGGAAGTTACTCAATGTGTGTTTGAAGGATTTATAGAGAATTAAATCCTCTTTTAGAAAATCCATAATACAACTTGATTGGTTGAGAATCACAGAAATTGTAAGCAAAGTTCTAAGACCATGTCAGATAATCTATAGTCTAACTTCGTGGGACACCATACAGCATAGTTTTATTTTATTTAAAAAAAAAATTGTCATAGATATAAGTAGGTACATAGACTACCATTTGGACTTTGCTCTGTTGTGTATTTAACAATAAACAAATATTATAATAAACATCTCATCACAATTTCAGCTACATTTTGGGTCGAGATCCCAAACCGTTACCTCCACCAATGAAACTGAGTAAAGAAATGGTAGAAGCAATGGGTGGAATCCACTCGGAACATTATCAAGAATTCAGAAAGCTTTGCTACACAGCCTTTTTACATTTAAGAAGGTAAGTAGCAACATTTCATAAAATTCTTAAAACTACACCATAAATTTCAGACACGCAAACCTAATGCTAAACTTATTCTCTTTAATGGTAGACGCCAGTGTACCTGATATAGCGTTAGAACCTGATAAGGCGGTTAAAAAGGTTCAGGACAAGCTAATGTTGGATTTAGGGGAGGAGGAAGCTGTGCATTATATCCAAAACTTAATTGACTCTTCTGTTTCGGCTGTCATGCCTGCAATAGTCGAGCAATTGCATAAAATCACTCAATACATGAGAAAATAGAAATTTGATGATATTTTAACAAAGTGTAAGGAGTCAACGTAAAATTATAAAAAAAAATTGTTTTATATATTTATTTAGAAAAGGCTGTTTTAGTCATGATAAGTTGTTAATAGATTTTTACTCGTATTTTTTTTTTCCAATACATCAGCACTTTTGGTGACCAAGGTTTCATGGAATCATACTTACATACTTGGAGGAAAAAATAAGCACATTGTTTATTGATTCAAAAGTTTCTCACTATACAATTCGATCACAATAAAACATTTTCTTGTGAGCAGAAAAACCTGTAAGCCTTTTTACTGAATTCGGGCCCTAATTTTCTTTGGCCACTCAAAGGCCCAGCCGCTCTTCTAACAGGCAAATCTTGCAATAGTTTTTCACAATCTTCAGGTTTTTCGCAATTTTTATAAGCCTAAAAATTCCTCCAAATAAATTTGTAATCAAAGGAATATTTGTTTTACCTCCATTAACGAATTGATGGTGGGGTAAACAGAAGTTACAGCTTCGGAAGTTTCTAAACTTGCCAAAGGAAACATTCTTAGGAATTGGTTCCATAAACGCCCTAAACCATTACCGTCTTTGTCTACTCTTACACAATCTCTATTGTTTACAACAAAAAATTCGTTTTCTTGTCCTTGTGATTCTGATTTAGCCAATCTGGAATAAATAATTCAGTATTTTGTGGGTAAAAACAATTATCTTACTTATAAGGAATTTGAGCTACAGATTTTGTACATTCTCCAACAAACACTGCTAAAGACTCGAGCTTTTCAACTGGCCGGACATAAATATTTTTGCAAAAAATCTGCAATTCAACCAACTTATTCTCTATTTCTTTTTTAGTTACTTTTGGAAGATTTTTGAATTGTGAATTTCCATTAGTTCTAATTTCTGCTTCAGTAACTGCAGCCTAAAATAAGTTACCACAACAATATTTTACACAAGGCCTAAATTCTTACTTTGAACTCTCGATTTTTATCATCCCTTAAATATTTATAATACCGTTGTAATCCTAAAATAGCAATAGAAAGATGCTCTATCTGAGATATGCTAAACAATGATTGTATATGAGCTGTTATGGTATTATCTGCAATATGCTGAATAAATTCTGGTAAGTCAATGATGATCATGTAGTGCTTTTCTTGTTGATTGACATTTTGCAAAAACTAGAAGAAAAATGTACTTTAAACTGTCTGTGATTGGATATTATAACTTACCATATTTTCAATTGTAGGCACTTTTCTTGTCCACGAAATTAAATTTGGAACTAGTTCTTTGGTAACTTTGTAATTGTAACCACCACTTTTCAATCCTGCTTCTATTACTTCCCCATAAGGCTTTTTTGATATGTTTTCGTCAATATTAACTGTTAAGTACTAAAATCAAGCTAATAGAATTATTTTACCTCAAATTTTAATAGTACCTGTATGCATTGATCAGGTTTAACACAATTTCCAACTACTTTTAAAGCGTCTTTTAATTGTTTTTGATTTTCTTTTTCCAGTTTTTTCTGTTCTTTTTCTTTGGCTTTCGCTGCTTTGGCCAATTCTTTTTCTAGTTTTTCAGCTTCTTTTTCTGCTGAGTCTTTTCTCCCTCGCTTTTTAGGTCTCGGTTCAGCTAGAAAAAAAATCGTAGATGATTCCAAATAAATTACCTGTAGATGGTTACTCTGTAATATAATGCGAAATTTGAATATGCGTATAAACAAATAACGTTCTAACCGTAATGTATACCTAGCTTCAAAATATCAAAAAAGCTGCCAAAAATTAATCAGTATTTGACACATTTATCAGTTTTACATATTTTACCAAAACTCTATTAGTTTTTATACAAAACGGCAACAAAAAATGCTAAATCTTGATGCAGTATTTCAATGCTGCCTAATGATTTGAAGTACATAGTAGTGTTTTTATTATTAATAAGCAGTCTACAGTGCGTCCAAGCTCTAAATATCCTAGATCAAGTGTCTGATTTTGACAGTATCGTGGAAAGCAAGTTCAAAAGCAGTGCAAAACCAAGACCAAAAACAACTAGAAAGTTGATACATTGGAATGCCAAAGCAAAGTCGGACGCTCAGCCAGTTCTACAAAAAAAATTATTTAAGCCTAATATTGGTGATTCTGAGGAAAGACGAAAAATTAATTTATTTCCAAAAGAAATGCCTCAAAAGATATTTAAACGTCTACCACAGCAGAATCCTGACAAATTACATTTGTTACGTTTATTGCCAAATGCACGAAAATCTAGGAAAAAATGTAAAAATCGTTTGGAATTGGACAAAGCAAATCCAGAACAAATTCGTATGGTACGAGTATTACCAGATATCGACGAACCCAAAAAAACTGAAAAGCCCAACCAATTAATAAAAGAAACTTTCCCAAAAGCAGTATTACACAGTATTCTATTTAATAAACTATTATTACAGAATAATAAATCTAAAACATATGCAGGAAATTATATAATAAGAAGTGAAGATTTAAACGAAGGTAAAAATGAAGGTTCTCTAGAACGCGACAAGCGAGTGTTACATCGAAATTATAAAATATCCAAAGACGTAAGATTCAGACGACATTATAGGCCTTACAGAAGCGAAAATCCAGTGGAAAACGAAATGAACAAAATGGTTGAATACGTAGCTAAAAATCAATCTTTCAACGATACATTTACTTATAAACCTCTAGTTTTTGGCGCTGTAACTTCAGCGGATGGAGAAATGTTAATAGCTGGAGTTAACCAGAACGCTTCCATAGATGAAAAACTGATGCTTCAAAAGATTCTAGATATTAAACCCAATCAAACTGCTTATAACGTCACTACCGAAGCACCAGCAAGTCAAGTGCTTACTACCTGCTATGCAATTGAAGAAAATGCAACCAATCAAGTAAATAATATTACTAATACCACAACAACAAATTTTCCACGTGAAACTTTAGGATTTTTGATTCCAACTCCAACACCGCCCAAAGCTGAAGCCTCTATGAAACCTGGTTTACTTCTTTATTCGAAAAATTCCAAAAACCGTAAGCGATTTGCTGGTAATGGTATATTGAATGAGGCAGATCTAAATGCCATTATAAATTCAGCGAGTCAAAATAAAAAAAATAATCATGCTGGAGGCCAATGCAAAGGGGATAACTGCATTGACGAAACGGATAAAATTATAGATATTTTAAACAGACTTGACCACCCCGATGAATTGGTTAGTGAAGATGATCCAGTGACAAATAACAAAGATATTCTTACACCAACTTATATGGATTTTATTCAGGAATTTTCAAAAGTTAGTATAACTCCACCTCCAGATACTTTCAGTTACAGTCCAACTGCTTCAGATCCTCATAGTCAACAAAAGAAAGAAATAAACTCTAAACTGGAAAAACTTCAAAGGGATTTGAAAGTGGTACAAGAAATAGAGACTATTCTAAATGAAGCTTCTTTCAACAGAAAGCAAATGAAGAAAAGGTATATAAAGAAATCTGGTTTGAAATTAAATGAAAATCTTCAAACAGATGACAAAGTTGCTTTAAAAGATGACGAGGTAACACCAAAACAAAGTAAAGCCAATGAAGATTATTACGAAAGCAATATTGAAGATGAAGAAATCATTGAAGATATAGCTGAAGCAGCAACTACAATGTTCATCAAGCAACATTCAACAGCCACGACAGAATCTATTTTAAAAGAGCACGAAAAAAACAAATTATTTAGTAGAGTCGCTGAGCAGTTGCGAACTACACCAACACATTACACCCCTCCTTCCGTGGAGCCTATAACACGTGAATTAGCAGATGAAACCAATTATGAAGATTATTCATCCACGGTGGATGATAAAATCGTAAATGTTGATGCTCGTGTTGATGAAACCCATGGTAACTCAAATGAACACTTAGATAACGATATAGAAAATTTAGTAGATATGACGCTTGAAGCTATGGATCATAATTTACATACTACAAACGTTGTTATTGCTAAGGAAGTTATTTCTAGAGTGGATGCATTATTAAATGATGCAGGCACAAAACTTAATGATGCAAGCCCCAAAGTACATGATGCAAGCACCAAAAAAGTCCCGATTACAAGCACACATGTTACAACCAAACGTAGTACACCTCCTGCACGAACAAAGATGATATGTAAAGAGTTAACGAAATTGTATGAACAATTGAGTATTAGCCCAAAAAGAACTAAAAGAGATATAAATGAACCGTTAAGTACTGGTCAAATGCATTACACAACTTGCGAGTTATGCAAGGAGGAATTAGAGGGAAGTACTGGGATAATGTCTTTGGGAACTACAGAAAAGACAACCAAAGAAACTGAACAAACATCAACAGAAAAAAAGACGGAACATAGCTCTACTGAAAAAGGAATACAGCAAACCTCAACAAAACAAGCTTCAACTGAAAAGACAACTAAAGAAACTGAAAAATCCTCAACGCAAAAAGGACCAGAACAATCATCAACAAAAAAAGAACCAAAAAATACATCAACAGAAAACAAAACAGAACAATCTTCAACAGAAAAGAGTACAGAACAAACCTCAACAGTTGAAGAAATCGGCCATAGCTCGACAGAACAATCTTCCATAGAAAAAGAAATAGCAGAAATCTCAGCAGAATTAGAAGGAACTACTGAAGAAATAGAAAACACAAATGAAATGAAAAAAACTACTAAATCAAGTAGTACATTGGCAGAAGATGAATACCCAGGGTCATGTGAAATTGTTGGCACAACTTGTTTTTTGGAAGACACTGAAAAGGAAGGTACAATTGAGTCTGGAAAATCCACTGAATCCACTCATATGTCATCAAATATTGATTCTAGAGCATCAAGCCAAACTTTTCCTTCTTCCTTCGAAAATGCAGTTGCCTCTTCTTCTTCCAATAAAAGTATTTCAGGGACAGTTTTTCCACCAGCACAAACGCCCGAAGAACCTGTTACCAAATTCGTGGGCTTAAAATTATATCCTAAAACCAAAAAACCTATTGAAACCGATGTGCAGCACGAGCATGTATCTTGGATGGTCGAAGAGCATACAATTGTTAATGAAGATGATGACATAGTTGGAGTGACCAATGTATCAAGACTGGTTTATTCTAAGGACAAACATAAATGAAACATGATATAATGGCGAAAGTAACGCTTTGAAAGATAGCAAGATTAAATATTAATTATGTAATGACAAGTCGTGTAAATTTTGTCCATTTAGCATAGAATCTAAAACTATAATAAAATATTGGAATATTATTTTATCACCTATTTGTGCTTCTGGAGTCAGATTAAGGGGAGAGTTGTCTGATTTCATGGGTTCTGAATTGGTGGTTGGCAACACATAATTTCCATTAAATTCCTCTTCGTCACTATTACTTAGACTAAATTGACTTCCTGAAGACTGACTGTAACTTTTGTATTTGCTTTCCAGCTTGGATTTAGAGATTTCTTTACTAAATAATGATTTTACTTCCTTAGTAACTGTGTGTTTAGGTTCAATTTGAATTTGTTCAGATTCTAGCTGTTTTATTTTATTCCATAAGGTGTCCAAATCATTTGAATCTTCACAGAAATCGTTAGCCGAGAACTTTTCTTGCCATGATAAGTTTTCCTTGGTATCACCATCGGACGTTTTTGCTCTTTTGTCTAAAGGTTCTCGTATAAATTCTTCGTCAGATAGGTCATCTAGATTATAAATATTTGTACTAGGGTATATAGATTTTGATGTAGAAGGCAAATTGTGGCGTTCTGTACTATTACTATTATACTTTTCAAGAATATTGTTGATTTCTTCGTTTTCTATTAGTAGGGTTTTTTCAGATGCTGATGTATCGGTATCGCTTAAAAGTTCTATGCAGTCATCCATGGTACCTTATTATAATATTTATTAGATAATCACTCGCTATATACTGTAAAACTTGTGAAAGTTTAAAATTTTAAAGGGTAAACAAAAATTCAAAAAAGTGAGGTTAGAGTTATATGTTCTGTAAATAAATAATATGAAGTTAGGTACATATGACGCAATGATAATGCACACTACAACTACAGGATAGCCTATCTTCAAAAGGCTTATGTGGAACAAATCTAAAGCCTCCACCGCGCCAATCACCAGTTGTGACGTAGCCAGCATGTCCGTTGTCGCCTTGACGTAGTCTGTTTGCACCACAGGTTATGATTCCGCGGGCTTTTGCTTTATGCATCTTCCTCTTTGCCTATCATATCATGTTGATTAAAATTAAATTATATTCTTCATCATTCCGTGCGTTCGGTATTTTGATCTGAGTTCTCTGACCTTGAATTTACAGTTCGTTTATTTGAAAAGTGTACTCGGAGCAGGCTCATTCGCGTTCTTTATTGAAATTTCGGGGACTCTGATACAGCGTTCAACTGCTGTGTTCGCTCGCTGGTCATGTGATTACAAGCAAAATACCGAATGCAAGGTTAAATTCTAAACTACGAACTCTAGAGCAAACAACTGACGACTTGTTAATGACGTCGGACATGGTGACACACCGTCCACCGATCACCAAAAATCAAAACCGAGGCCGATAAGCAATCCGTAGTGTGTATTAATTCTTGCATATGACGCACTGTTCGAAAACAACCTCCCTCGGCTAACTTCATTTCATACGTGTTCTCATAAACAAAGAAAATCGAATTACACTCTAAACAGAGACAACTATAGTGTAAGACATTTGGCAACATTGCAAAACCAGTTTATTCGTTTTTTATTTTCAGGTGAGGTGTTCCACTCTACTGTTCAGTTCAGTTCGAACACGAACGTTGTCGCGTCGGGTGATTCTTTGCTTTCGTGGGTATTCAACAGGTGCCTTTTTTCGCAATTTGTGCCTTTGTTCAGGTGGAAATATCGGAAATAAATTTATTTTGAAGGTAAAAACTGATTAATTTATTGTGAGAAATGTCCATAATACCTATGTATTTCTTGTCGAATAAAAGACCGGCTTAGCTCAAAATGCACTTCATTCAAACAAAAAAACGAACTAGTAAAAAATATGTTCCGTTTTTTTTTTTCCAAATAATGAAATTTCTGTGCAAACCTTTATAATATTTTTCAAGGTAATAAATAATTGTTAGAAATTCAGTGCACAAGCTCGATACATAATTAAATTAACAGCACTGGTATGGGTATGGGTATTTTTCAAATGGTTGAATTAAATTGAAGGTGTATTTTCCTTTTAAACTAGATTTAATAAATTCAGGTGTACCTATATTTCAATAAAATCGCTGTTATCAGGGATAATGTTAACACAGGCATTATCATTTTTATTTCATTGCCTTATCAGCCTCGCATTACCTATATCTTTTTTGGTTTACATAGCAGGTTCCCGTCTCAAAATTAATTAATGATAATTATAAGCTACAGGGTTTGCTGTGAAAATGATGTTTTTTAAATTTTAATAGAAGAACCTTTGCTGTTAGCAATTATTAATTAAAAAGACGGTGAAAGTGTAGGAGGAGTTACTATAAAGTGGCCCCTGAACTAATCTCTGAACTTTGTAAAATCTGTTCTCACAGAAATCACAAAGCAGTGAGAATGTTTTTGATTGGCGTAAATCGTCAACAACCAGTTTTCTGACTATTTTCAACCAATCAAATTCGCGTCAACAACCAGTTTTCTGACTATTTTCAACCAATCAAATTTGCTCTGACTGGTTTGTGATTTCTGTGAGAACAGACCTATTGTGTTCTTATGATGTTCATATCGAGGTTCATATCTACTGTGTACTTCTGATTTTATTATAGTGATTAAATTGAATCTTCTCTATTAAAGAAATACCTACATATAGAAATTGGGTAAATAAATTCATGGAATATTTGAACAACAAACATTTTTTATTATTTAGGATCATTTATTCACCTTCTGTTAAACTGTCAGACATGCAATCTGACACCTCTGCTGGGTATTTTGTACTTGATTTTTTACATTTGATTATTTATTATTTCATTAGGTATATGTACTAAACTTACCTCTTGACTTACCACCTATTTATAAATGTTGCCGAAAATAGTTGAGTACCTATCACTTTTTCATGAGCTCTTGCATATATTTTCCCATTTTCTTTATTGTGGAACTATCTTATGTTCTGCAAATGATGAAATTATTATAGAAAGACTAAGTACCTACCGAGGTACCTATCTTTAGTATCAGTATTAATATGATAAAATTTCAATTTTTCTTATGTTGAGATTTTGTCTTTAAATGATCGTTTGGGACCCCCGAATCTTCATAAGTCCATACACTCAATTATTCTGAGATTGGAAGCCGAAATCTATGGAAAAAGGACGTCAGGAAATTGAAAAATTGATAAATTCACTGCAAATTAGGTACTGAACATGATTTTATTCCTGGAACTATAATTCCAAATGAGCTGAAATTTTCAGGAATTGTCTCGGGGATTGTAGTCCCCTACTAGGATAAGAATTGCTGAAAATTTCTGCTTTCTATGTCTAATAGAAAAAAAGTTATGATCTTGTTAAGTTTTCGAAAATCTTAATCATTATTTATTTATTTATTTATTCATTTATTTACATATAAGAAAAATACATTTGAAGTTGAACAGAGTTTAAATCTAAAAAAAAAAAAAAATCTAACCTAAAACAATTCTCCTGGCCTTTGTCTTAAATTTATCCAGAGATAAACCAAAGAACTCAAGGCCCTCACAGAACTTATTTACATTGGCAGATATTCTATTCACAGGACTGAATAGTAGGTGCCAGGTTCGACAGTAACGAATGTGCAGTAAAGATTTACTTCGTGTCTGATAACTTTGAATGTGTAGATTAAAACATTCAAGACATTCGTGGCTTTTTATGTAGTAGTTAAGAATTTTAAATGCAAAACAGACATCAAAATATTCCCTTCTGCGAACAAGAGTAGATAAGTCTAAATTAGTCATAGTCAGGTCATCACTGAGAATCACACCACTCAAAGAAAGTTTGTACCTTGCAAACTTAATAAATTTGTGTTGAACACTCTCAAGCCTATTGATGTGGATCTGATAGTAAGGTGACCAAACTATGCATGAAAATTCAAGAACGGACCTGACCAGTGATGTGTAAAGAATTTTGATAGGGCGTATACTTGTAAAGTCCCTAGTAGCTCTCTTAATAAACCCCAACATTTTATTAGCCCTGCCAATTACCACTTCAAAATGCTCAGCGAACATTAGCCTAGTATCTAGATAGACACCAAGATCTTTAATGATAGAAACTTCAGACAAGCGAACATTGTTTAAGTAATACTGCAAGGGAACACTATGGGTGCGTCTACTGAATCTTATACAACAGCACTTATCGATGTTGAGGGACATGTAATTAAGCTGACACCAATCGTGAACGATGTTAAGATCATTTTGCAAAATAAGTATGTCTTGAGTTGACGTCACCTGACGATACAACTTCAAGTCATCAGCAAAAAGTAAAAAATTTGACGAGAGCAACGATCCTAAATCGTTGATAAATAAGCTGAATAGAAGGGGGCCCAAGTGAGAACCTTGGGGTACCCCAGAGGATGCATGGAAAAGAGAAGAAAGATAGCCATCGATCTTGACTTGTTGCATTCTGTTAGTAAGGTATGATTTCATCCATGAAAATAAATGTCCAGAAACGCCGAGACTTGAAAGCTTTGAAAGAAGGATGTTGTGATTTACCTTATCAAAGGCTTTACTGAAGTCAGTATATATTGCATGAGTTTCTGCATTATTAGCAAATGATGAATTTATGAATGTTGTAAAGAGAAACAGGTTCGTCTCAACGGATCTACCGGCTGTAAAACCGTGCTGTTGACTGATCACAATCTGATGAAATATTTTTGAAAGAATTCCTTCCACGCACTGCTCAAATAATTTTGGAATCGCAGACAGAATGCTGATGGGTCTGTAATTATTTACATCATTTTTGCTGCCTGACTTGTAAATAGGACAAACGTAGGAGAGCTTCCACATTTCTGGAAAAATTCCAGAAGATAATGATTTGTTGAAAATATTAAACAGAGGAAGATACAAAGTGTTAGAACAAGATTTTAGTACTTTGTTGGGAATACCATCAGGTCCTGCAGACTTGTTGATGTCCAATTGCGTTAAAGCCCTCTCAATATCTGTTGGATCTATGACAATGCTTGAAACATTCTCAAATCGATCAGCAAAGGTTCCAGCGTCGGAATTTCTCTGAGGGTTATAGACGGAGGAGAAATAGACAGCAAAAAGATTAGCTATGTCAACACCGTTGGACGCCTTTTCTGAGGCAAGAAACATTTCGTTAGGAATAGTACCCTGATTAGATTGGGAGTGAATAAAGTTCCAAAAATTTTTCATATTGGTGCCTATGGCTCTTTCAGTATCACTTATGTATAATTTATAGCACTCTTTGGTGAGGTTTTTACAATCTCGCCGAAGTGTACTAAATGCAAAGTAATCCAAACCTCTATTCGACCGCTTGAATCGTTTGTGAGCAATTTTCTTTTGAAAAATCAGATTTTTCAATTCAGAGAACCAGATAGGAAATTTCTCGCTGTAAGAATGTGCCTTTATTGGAACAAACATATTAAAGCAGTCGAACAGTACCAAGTAAAAGCTCTTAACAGTTTCGTTTAGATCGTCCATCATAATGGATCGCCAATCAAAGGAAAGAAAATATTCATTAAATAAATCAAAATTGGTATTTTTAAAGTCATAAGAAAAATAATTAAGAGGCTTCAGAAATTTAGCTTTAACAACAGGTATGGAAAACTCTAGAGCTGGGTGATAACGATCACATCCCACCAGACCGTCAGATGTTACAAGTGAAATAGGCCCAAAGTTGGCAAAACATAGATCCAGGATTGAACCATGATCGTTAGCCACCCCATTGTATTGAGACAGATTAAGAGAAGCAGTACTATC